CTTGGTGATGGTAGTGTGTTGCTGGAGCTGTGGAAAGTAGCAGCATCTTGTCTCTCCTTTCTTTGCTTGGAAGAAAAGAGGCGTAACTGATACAAAAAGGGGGAGTACCACTCAGTTTGGAATTGGGAAGAAGAAAGTGAGTGCTTTGGCTTGATTAGAATAAGTATGCTTTTCTCACAGTTCCTAAATTAAAATGAAAGGCATGTTTCTTTCAGAGCTGGGGTTGATTCAGGGTTATCAGCCCCGGTCATCCTTTTTTTAATTTTATTTTTAATGTTGTTATGCTTCTCTAACTATGGTAGTGTCCCATTGTACCTCGTACTTTGTGCCTCATGCTTTATAAACATGAAGGGAGAAGGTGAGCTAGGTCCCAAAGACCTTGTTATTTACAAGTCAAGTCAGGACAGAGAAAATGGATGCAAGCAAGTAGATGGAAAATGAACCAAATGGAGGCTGATAATGTAACAGCAACTTGACAGTTATTGGCGTTGGTTTGTTGGAAGGTGTGAGGGAGAAATCACAGAGAGGAAGGATTTTGAGAAAGGTATTGAGTCAGGCTTGCAGAACTTTTGCAAGGTGATCATTTCAACTAGAAGGGACTGTACAGGAAAAGATCCAACATTTAAGAGTTCCATAGTGGCAGGTAAAATGCGGACAGACTGTGATGAAGCCTTTATCTTATTCTTTTCCTGGGCTGATTTTATTAATATTTGTAACAGAACAGAGTAAGTGATACCCAAAATCCCACACAGTTTTTTGGGGGGAGTCTATATGTTTGTATGCTCTGCATTTTACCATATTTTTACTATTACACGAGCTCACTTCTCACAATTTCTTGTGCCTTAAAATACCAACAGTTCTTAGCTAGTCTTGAAATTGTTCTGAATATCACACTCCTCTTTTCTGAGACTGGTATAGTACATTTTCTTTCCTCATAGACTGATGGTAATAATATTTGTGTGATAAGCTGATCATTTTTGGCTTCCCTACATAAAGCATTTCATCTTAAGTAATCACCATGGGAGGTTCCATCTGTTTTATTTTTTTCTTTGGTTGTAGCTCTCTTTTCTTCTCTTTAAGAAGGAGGAAACATCAGAGAGTAGCTGTGAAGAAGTGTCTTTTCCGTGAGTGAAGATGATGAAATATTTAAGTCTTTTTTCCCAAAAACTTTTACTTCAAATCTAAAAGCATGAGTGGTGATGGTGGTGTGAAGTACCGTGGTTTTACGGGTTTCTTAAATCTTGTATATCTAGAGCCTCACAGGGATTGAGAGATCCAAAGAATGGATGAGTTGCAAAGACCGCAGTACTGCAACACTTTCAGTAATATCTGAAAACTGCAGATGTAAAAAATGTTATATTCAGCTGAAGTTTACTTGACTCAGTCCAGTGGGTGTTTTTGTTCACAGTACAAAAGTCTGGCTGGTATCACTCTCTTCCCGTAACAGTTGTTTCAGATTTAAACTTTTCCCACAAGACCTATTTCCAGAATTAGATTCAGATTGAGAAGTACTGTACAGTTGTTACTGTCATAAAAACAATCTGCTATAGCTTGATTATGGGACCAAAACCAAAAATGAAGGAAATGAGAAAACATTAGTGTAATTTCTTTAAGAAAATTAGCTGACTTTTTATAAAATTTGAGCTTCATGTTGTTGGTGTAATAAGCAAGAACTCTGGCTTTTCTTGGGAAGGATACAATTTTTGCTGTAAAATAAAGGGCATTCCCTGTAAGAGCAGATGCTTGAGATGTGCACCCTGCAGAGACTGCTTTTCTTTGTAATCCCACTGAGTGGCTGGCATCATATATTTTACCACTTTGTGGATTCTCAGATATGGATCAGTATGTTGCCCAGGGCAATTCCTAGTAACTTTTCTTTGAAAAACTATTAAGGAAGAGTTGTTACCTGTTCACCAGTATATTGTTCACATGGAAGAGTTCTTGGAGAAAGTGTTGAGCTTGTGAGATTGACAGCAATCGAAGGTTTTGTGAATAGGTCCACTGATGAGTAGGTGAAGGCAACGATATACTGCAGTTTCCTGGCTTTAGTGACTATGCAGTGTTTGGATAGCTGATTGGATTGACAGCTGGTTAAAGAGAAGCTGCTGATTCCACCCTGAAGAGAGGGAAGCCTCCTGAAGAAAAGCTGCTTCTGCATGCCTTCCTGAAGAATTGCTCTAGTGCTGAACTGTCCTGAAGTACTTTCCTATGGTCTGCACAGCCACAAAATAAAATAAGTACGATATGTGCCTTACGGGTGAAGTTTCAGTGACCACGCTGTGGATGCTGTTGTGGTCACTGTTCAGGTTCTGGTTTCACAACCCAGCTAAACTGGGAATTGTCCGGTGGTTGGTTGGCAGGTGGTGGGAGTAGCTGTATGTACTTTCAGCTTACGGCTGAAGAGGATCACAAGAGGAGCCATGTATGACTTAGTGTGTTGCCATCTGAGCTAAGGGTGGAAGGAGGAAAAAATATATCCATTTCATGTTATCACTTTGATAAGCGTGTCCTTATAAAGGACTTCCATTAAGTTGTTCATGCTTTAAGGAGGTACATCTCGGATTCTACTTTAAATAATATATTACTCATTCATTACAATTAGATATGAAGGAGGGGGGAGATTGAAGGACAGAAAGATGTAAGAGTTTTGTTTTACTTACGGTACTTGAGCGAAATTTTACTGTCTCTGGTATAAAAGAGTTCAGACTAGATTATCTAATGGTCCTTTCTGCATTTATGAAGTAATAAGGAACCAGTTTTGTTATCAAGTCTACAAAGTAAATTAGTGTTGATCAGAAAGGGACTTGTTAAGTTCCTCCATTTAATCCCCTTGAATTAAAATTAAATCAAAATTTAGAAACAAAACCTTTGGTTATGAGCTGTCCACCAATGATATTCCAGATTACAGAATCAGGAGTTAAACTTCATCTCCAGTAAGGATGTGACTTGTCACTGTTTATCTTACACTCTTT